GTTTTTTTAGAAATATTAAGTTATGTAGAAACAACTTTCCTTCTTAAAATTTATTTTTATACAAAAATACACACACACACACACACACAAAATAATAATAATAATAATAATAATAATAGTTATTAATATATTTACTATTTTATTCAATAATCATTTGCATCTTCCAGACAATTTCATGACTCTATTTAGGTTTTATTACATTGTATCTTATTACACTTCATTTCCAAAGAACTTTTGCTATATCCCCCCCCCAAAAAAAAAATTCTCCACATGAAGTTTGACACTGTTAGCTGAAATTTTAAGTTTTATCTGATGCAGAATTTTGCAATACATGGAACAAATGGTAGTCTGATAATGCAATGACAGTGCTATTGTGATGAATGTAATAACATCCCAACCAAACTCCAGTAATCTGAAGATTGACTGAAGATGTGGTTTTACAATATCACAATGGAACACAATATTTTTACAATTCACCAATGCTGAATGTTACTATGACTTTCTTACATTAGCTGTAAATAATAAATACCAGTCTGCTTTATTTGATTACGGCAAAGAACTCCACAGCTATCTGCCTAAGAAGAGGAATGTCTTCATGAATTTTTTCATTCCTTGGTAAAAGTTCAAAATAAATAATTTCCTTGTAATTCTACCACATTTATAATATTACTTTCCTTTGATGAATATCAGCTTTTGATATTGTTTGAAATGGCTCACCAGGTTTGGACCATTATGTTTTGAATTAAGTGATCTGTAAACAATCCACTTTTCATAATTAATTATCAACTGTTAAAAAAGAGATTTAGTTACAAAAATCAAGGTAAACAGAGGTTGCTTTAGATGAAGGACTTTCTAACAACAGTTTCAATCAGTGTTTTTTATCTGCTATCATTTACCCCAGTAGCTCTACAGAACCATAACATGACTCGAACAGAAAAATCCTCAGCACAAAATTTTGCGCACAAATTCTGATATCTCCGTTTAGTTAGAGAAATGTAAATTCTACAAAGTAATTTTTTTGGTATATATATATGTATATGCAGGTCTTTTACCTTTGCATATAGAGAGAAATAAAATCTGATCAAAATTTTGGTTTACTTCAATTCTTTAACATAAAATGCCTACACATAAATTTCCTGATTTTTTAAAAGTTTTCTTTGAAATGCACAATGATAGGTCAGCTTAAAAGTACTAAACTCTGTTATCCACATGTATAACAATTCTTCAGGCAACCATGTGCGTGACAGCTCTTCAATTTTAACAACAAACATCTCCATTTCTATGTGTTCTTTTTGTGTACTCTTAATTCCAATAGTATTTGTTCACAAATCCCGATATTTTTTTACTTAAATTTAATTTTGAAATATGTGCTGAGGGATTTGCTTAGACTGGAAGAAACTGTGATAAAATTTAAGCAGGAATACGGTATTTTACTACAAAATTGCTAAAAGGGACAATAGCTTTTAATTTCTTCTTAAAACGGTCAACACAAACACTTTACCAAAAAATAAATAAATAAAAGCCTTCTTCTAAGTACATGGAAATAATTAAATATATATAGAGTTAAAATGTACAAAATGTGTCTTTAATAATATGCTTGTATGTAATAAATAAATTTTTATGTCTCCATTCTTTTTCTTCTTTAAAATCTGCCAAACTGTGACAAGGCAGTTGTGCTAACATGCAAGTTCCTAATATTGTAATCAACTGAAGCTTAAATGCTACCTTGTAGTATGTACTACTTTTGGTTTGAAGAAAAACCAGACAACAGAATAAATTTTGGAATGGAAGTTAGTTCCCATCTCAGCAACAAGAAATAAAATTTTCTTGTGTTCCAACTTACAGCCATTTTAAATTATTTAGTAAAAAACATTACGAGGAAGGGTTGCTTTGCTTTAACAAAAACCCAAGAGATTTAATGTGATTTCCAACAGTTGTATGATGAACGCCAAACTCATCTGCAATTTCTCGACTTGTTAAATGTGGATTATTTTCCAACATGGATCGCAAAACATCATTATCGATCTTGGATGGTCGTCCAGATCGATCACTTCCTTGGAGGCTCAGGTCCCCGGAACGAAATTTGCTAAACCATCTTTGACAAGTACGAACATTTACAATATCTTTTCCAAATACCGCACATAAATTTTTACATGCAACTGATGCGTTGCTTCCTTTTTGGAATTCATACAAAATGCAGTGTCGTAAATGCACTTTATTTACTGACATGTTTTTCACCTTTAAATATCACAAGTAAATGATGAACGGTAAAAAAGGACTCCTTTTATATTATACAGCAGCTGAAAAATAAAAATAAAAAAAAGAACATTAACTGCTATGACTTTGAAAACCTTTATACTTCTCTACCATTAGAAGAAATTTTTGCTAGTTTAATGCAACTCGCACAACTTTTTCCTGACATACTTGACATCATTTGTATTGAAAAATGGAATACTTATCTGAATTGTGCATTATTTAATAACTACATTAAATTCAATAATAAGATCTTTCAGCAAGTGAGAGGAATTCCTATGGGAGCAAACACAAATAAGTAACCTATTTCTTTTTACTTTTGAATATAAATTCCAACAAAGTTTAAATAAGAATGAATTAAAGCTATTTGCACATACATTTAGATACATAGATGATATTATAACTTTCAATAATAATTCTGCTTTTGAGCAATTCTAAAATTTACTCAAATAGTTTAACACTTAATAAAACGAATATGAATCAAGATACTATTGAATACCTAGACCTGCTAATTATTAAACACAGCAAAATTAAATTATATGATAAAAGAAGGAATTTCCATTTTCATACTATTAAGCTAATTAATTGGAACTCTAATATCTCTAGAAAAGTAATAGAAAACACGTTTCATAGCCAAATAATCAGAATAAAAAAATATATGTACTGAAATAGAAGATTTAAAGGAAGAAATAATAAAGCTAATTAATGTTCAAGTTGATAACCAAAGTAACCACCAAAATTTATTAATTTTATATATAAAAAGGCAGGCATTAATTTTACTTTATAATTTTTTGTTCTTTATGGTATGGTAACATTACCTTAAACCTTAGCTGGAAGGTAATGGAGGATATAGAAGAGTAAAGGAATTATCTTGTAAATTTTTATTGTAAATAAATTTGTAAACATGTATATTTAATCAATACTGGATTTGAGTGAAGATTTTAATCTTCTTCTAATTTTCCATTCTTTAGCCAGTATTTAGTGAAGTTTTGATATACCAATTGGAATCAAGTTTATTAAAACTTTCAATATTTTCTTTCTTTAAATTTAGCTTTTTATAAACATTTTTTAAGGAATTTTTGGGAAATATCTGAGAAATTTCTGGGAATTTTCTTTTTTAACTTACTTTTTATTTCTTTAAATTAAAAAACAAATTTTAAGGATTCCTTTTTAAAAATTTAAATTTTACTTGAAAAAATTTGGGGAATTTTTTAAGACATTTTAAGAATTTTTTTAATTTAAATTTAAATTTTGAATTTTACTTTAAAACATTTTTAAAATTTTAAAACATTTCAGTTTTACTTAATTACTTTATAATTATTACTTTTTAATTTGCAATTTTCACAAAAAATTATTTTTTTCACTTAACGTTATTATTTGCATTATTTACACAATTTTGCAACAGAACACACATTTAACATTACAAACAAGTTTACATTTATTAATTCACAATAACCACTTGATTGGCTCAGCTACTAAACTCCCTACCATAAATAGTTGGTCAGTTAAAATTAAAACTTGAATTACATACTTTTAGGATATTCTTTGATTTTTTCTAGATTTATATTATTTAAATATTTTAATATTAAAGATAGCAGCTTGGCACTCAACTTTACTTACATTAGCGCCATCTATATAATTTGCAGAACACACTTGCATCACATAGGAAATACTTTTGCAGACCCCAATGCTTATATGGTAGGTAAGAATTAAAACTTACTATTTACTTGCTTTTAAGTATTTTTTATGTAATATTTAAGTATTTTCTAGATATGTAATTATATTTTTAAGTATATATTTGTGTTTTTATAAATTATGAATCAGTTCTTTCTAGTTTCTTATTGGTTTATATTAATTTGTCTAGTTCCTTTTTAGTTTTTTTTTTATTAATATGCATATTCGTGTCGGGGAGGTTTCTGTAGACAAGGGCTTCTAAAATGCATTGGTTTCTAAATTAATTTTTCAGAAATTTTAATTTTTTTAAAGTTTAATTTAATACTAAACTTTACATTCCTTATTTCTCAAAATACTTCATTATTGGTATTTTCCTTTAGACCTTTAATTTTTAATTGCTTATAACTCAAGGTACCACTTGGTGTTTCTTTTTGGACATTCTTCACTACTTTTAGTTTTGACTTTTACCCTTGCTTGCATGAATGACGAAACACGAATTGTGAATGATTGAAGAGTTAGGTTTGGAGGCAACTTCCCCTTGATAAGTCTGTCTCCTGCCTGCTCAAACAGTCAATCACTTATGCATTTTTTTAAAAAAAAGTTTAGATTATTTTTAATTTGCAAATTGGTGAATTTATTTTCATGTTTTGGTTTTGCACTTGATTTACTTATGCTTTCTGAATTTAAATGATATTGTAGATTAGTTCGAAAATTAAATCTTTTATATGTTTGCACATTATTTTAACTTTAAATTTGCTTTTTTACGTATATACATGTTTGTTAAATTTTATATATATATATATACAGAAGTTTACAGAACATTAATATTTAAACCCAACTACAAAGATAAAATGATGAAATAATATGCTGTACACAGAATTGAAGTAAACCAAAATTGTGATCAGATTTTATTTCTCTCTATATGCAAAGTTAAAAGACCTGCATATATATATATATATATATATATATACAAAAAAAAATACTTTGTAAAATTTACCATTTATAACAAGCTAAAAAATGCATATAAAATAATAGTAATTATGGATTTTTCTTAAACATATAAAAAAAATTACTTGTTAGGATCTATGTTTTCAATTTCTGCAACCATACGTGCTATTTCTGCTGCTGGTTCATAATTTTTTGAAAGTTTCTGAAGCAAAGCCGTAGTTGAATTTGTCTTGAATAGACCTAATGCTCTACGTTTCAAGCCATGAGAAAGACAAGCATCTACAGCAGCTGAAACAAGAATTTCACATATTGCATAATTGTTATTGAATTACATAATAAAAACTGGAAACCTGTGAGAAGTTTTCTTTAAAAAAATCTAAATTTTGCTATGTTAAAAAAAATATGAAGAGTTTTAGATTTTAAATTACGTCCAAAGGGGCGTTTTTTTAACGTCTTGTGTATTACCTTTATTTATTAAATATAATCTTCATTGCACTTAAAAAAACCATAAAATTCAGTTCAACAGCAAGGTTGTAAAATAATTTTAAAATGAGCATATCTTTAGAATTTCCGATACACAGTTCCGTGAGCTGGAGATAAAAGGGTTTTTCCCCCCCCCCCTGTACAGTGTTGCCATTGCTTTTCTTTTAAATCATTGTTGAGTTTCCTATTCAAAAACTCGTTACAATGCTTTACAAAATATGAAATAGATAATAAAACGAATTCCAAACTTCCAAATTTGGGCTATTCCAGATGCCCATATTCGCAGGTAGGAGACGTACGTCATTCAAAACTTGATGGCTCTTAGATACCGCTGTATTATCACAATGCAAGAAACATACATACATTTATGCAGATTCTTCATTATTTAATTTCTTCAAATATAATACAGGGCGACATTTGGTGGCAATGATTAGAAAAGTGATACGCCGTTTATAGGGTTCCTACACAAAATCGCAAACGAAAACAATAGTCCTTCAGGGACAAAGCACCTTTGGACTAAAAAAACACTTCAGTCGATCCTAAATTTTAAGGATAATAATTATTAGAATTTTAATAGCTTAAACTTGCCTTACCTTAACACTTCATATTTTACCAATAATGCAGTATTTCAAATAACCAGGGCTGTGGAGTCAGTAGAGAAAACGACTGACTCCAACTCCTGGAATTTTAATGACTCCGACTCCTTCATATATATGTGAACATATACACATGAGGTACAGCTTATTTTTTTAATATAAAAGAAGTAATAAGATGCTACAGAAAAAAATTGAGGCATAGCAAATTTTTTATATTAATTAGCATTTATTATGAAATGGAAAAACTGGCATTAATCTTTCTAAGAAACAGTAAATCTTTGGCAAGATCTTCTTTGTTAGAGGACCATAGATCCGATTTGATAAACTTCAGAACTGAGAAGTGTCTTTCCACACCGACTTGAGTAGGAAGAAGAGCTGTTACTGTTAGTGCTACTTCCTTTAACTTTTCAAAATAAATATTTATAAGTTCTAAAAGAGGTGACTTGCAAGAGCAATCATATTTATCTATTTCTTCAAAGACTGTGTATAATTCTTGTTTGTATTTTTTCATTTTATCTAAAGGCTCTTGGTTTTAATTATTTTCATTTGCTTTGCCTTAGCCTTTTCAATATTATCCAAATATTTCTCAAAATCGAATTCATCAGTGGAAGACGAGACTCAGTTGAAATATCTGCAGTTTGACTGTCCTGATTTGAATACTCCAGTTGTTCTGAGAATAATTTAATTCTTAATGAAAGATGGCTTTCTTTGCCTTTTTATCTAACAAAATTCGGCGTTTTGGATCTACATATATTGAACCCAGCACGATCTTATTATCTAGCAAACTAGTTTCTCCTTTCTTCATTGAAGAAATGATTCCTTCTGCAATAGACCCTCCATTTCAGAAAGAACAAACATCACATTCTTCCAGTCTTGCCTCTTATAAATTCTTCAGATTGTAGCTTTTTGGTGGCTACATACAATATAGAAAGAGGAGTTTCCAATTCTGCAAAATCATTCCACAGTCTTTCTATTGGTGAAACATTAGGGTTATCTACATCTTCTAACATCCTCGTCTCCTGTTAATTACTCAGATTGTAGCTTTTTTGTGGCTATATACGGTGTTGAAAGAAGTGTTTCCAGTTCTGCAAGATCATTCCAGTCTTTCTGTTAGTGAAATATTAGGGTTATTTATATCTTCTGGAAAAGTTATTAATTCGAATGACCACTATATCATCAAATATGTACTTCTCCATTTCCTTGCTCCTTTTCCTGCTCACTTCCTAAGAATGGCATCAATTTTGGGAGTTCTCGCTGCTTACTTCTATTCACCAATGAGATTAGTAACTAAATCAATCAGTTTAATTAATAATGGCAAATATCATGCCTATCTTGCTTCCTTATATTTATTTACTAATATGTCAATAAAATAGAAAATACCTATTTATTAATGTATATAGACCATAAATAAAAATATTAACTCCGTTTGTCATTAATTTTTTTTTTTTTTTTTTTTTTCAAATTCACTTTAATTTCATTTCAAATTCAAACTGTTCAACAAAAACTGGAACCAGAGTCGACGTATGTTTTAGTAACTCCAACTTCTTTTACCCAAAAATCTACCCCACTCCGATTCCGATTCCACAGCCCTGCAAATAACTAGCAATAAAGCCTACAGTGCAAAAGAAATTATGGACTCTAGGAAACTGTGACTAGATACTTCTTTCATTTATTATGAACACATACTCTTATGATATATATTTCATTTATATTATTAACCCCTTCTCCTTCTTGCTCCCATCACAATGATGGGGTGAAGTTTCGTCCTCTACTTTTAGTGCCCATGATATTTCCAGGCTGGAGTGTTCAAAAGCAATATGACAAAAAGATTAAAACTTATTCATTTCTTTTGCCCCAAAAAAGTTTTATTTATCATTTTATGTATCAGATGGCAATACCAGAATAATATTTTTTTATGCAATTAGAGATAATTTATTTTAAACTAGATGTCAGCACTAATCAAACCTGTATTTATAATATGTACTTTGTAATCTTTGCATTAGTCCAGTTACTTAGTTAGTCTCTTTGTGAATGCACGTGATTTCTGTTCTGTGATAAAATATACTTATTTTTAAATATTCTGTACATTATGGGGTCAGAGTCAGACAGTGAATTTGATTCTGATTTTAGTACAAATGGATCAGAGAGCGATTCTGAAATAATTGATTTTTATGAAGTTAAATTAATGAATCTGACAGTAGTGATGATATATCTATATTGCTGCCTAGACAATACGTATAGATATATCATCACTGCTGTCAGATTCATTAATTGAACTTCATAAAAATCAATTATGGACTAAAATTTTATCTACTTTAGATCATGCACCTCCACATTTTAAATATTTGAGAACACTAAAGGTAAATATAATTTTTGATCCAAGTTTTGGTATTTAACAATATTTTGAGTATTATGTAAATGATAATTTAATAGATCTCATCGTTTTGAGAAAATAGATATCCTGAACAATGCCAAAATTCTCCAAGATTTCCCCATCCAAAAGTAGAAAACCTTGGATACATGTCACAAAGGAAGAAATTCTTAAATTTTTCAGTATAGTTATTTTACAAGGCATTGTAAGAAGACCAGATACAAAAATGCACTGAAGCAAAAAACATTCAATTTCAACACCCTTTTTCAGAAGCATAATGCACTGTAATAGATTTTATGAAATACACAAGTTTCTGCATTTTGTAGATAATGAAACTTTTGATGGTAACACACATCCAAATCCCAAGTTGTATAAAATCTGGCCAGTGTTACAGCACCTGAATGAATTGTTTCAGAGAGCTATAACTCCTGGACTTGATATTATAATTGATGAAACAGTCATGCTCCTCAAAGGTTGTTTAGGATGGCAACAATATATGCCAAAAAAGAAATCCTGTTTTGGAGTAAAATCGTATTTGTTAAGTGAATCAAGTCCAGGGTATATATGGCCACAAATTATATATACTGTAAGAGGTACAGTTATGCGAAATATAAAGATTTGTTCCAATCATTTCAAGTTGTGATGTCACTTATCAAGCCCCTGCTAAAACAAGAATATTGTCTGATAACAGACAATTTTTATGCCACACCAGAATTGGCAGACATGTTTTTAAAATTTCAAAACAGACACTTATGGAACTGCAAAACCGAAAAGAAATGTTTCAAGAATTGGTAAGAAATAGAATCACAAAAGGTGAAAATGTTGCTTTTCACTGAGGTAAAGTTCTTGGCATGAAGTGAAAGGGATAAGAAAAATGTTACCATGTTATCTACAGTCCATACAAATGACATGGTAGATGTGCACTGTCAGAATAAAGTTGTCAAAAAACCTACAATTGTCACAGATTACAATAAAAATATGGAAGCAGCAGATAATGTAGACCAATATCTTGGAGATTATTCTATTGCTCAAAAAAAAATATTATAAGAAAATATTTTTTCATTTGTTAGATCAAACTATTTCGAACTAATATCTTGTTTACAAAAAACAAGGTGGAAAAAAATCTCATTTGATGTGTTGTTTATCTTTAGTGGATGAACTTATTGAAATGTATCAGTCATTAGACACCATTCCAAAAAAAGGCCAGCCAAGCTTGGAGGATAATCCAAACCATCTGATTGAAAGGCATTTTATTAGACAGATACCCCCAACTGATAAAAAATGACAACTATCAAGAGAATGCAAAGTTTGTAGTTCCAGAACAGATGAAAATAATAAGAGATGTAGGAAGAAAACGCCATACTACTGTCCAGATTGTGACATTAGTCTTTGCATCTCATGCTTTGAAATTTATCACACAAGAAAAAAATTACTAATCTTTGTTTATTTTATGCGTAAGTTTAATGAAATTCTCTTTTGATGTTTAAAACACATATTTCTTAAATTTTCCTGGCTTACTAGAAAACCAGCATTTAGTCACAATAACTCTGAATGTTGGATTTCCTGAAAAAAATAATATTTTTTTTTTTTTAATTTCAAGTTAAAAAATTTCAAAAATTAAAAATAAATACATATATTGTACATACACCTTTTTCTATACAGTTTTCTTGAATAAAAATAGGCACTTTTATGACAATTTTCTTGAAAATTATCCAATCATTAAGGGGTTAAAGCACAAAATAAGAAAGCATTTGTGAAATGATAATCTTCTCAGGGCAAAGAGACATAGAACGCCTTTCACATGCTGCATTCACAATCCAAGGTTTGTCAAGGTTTTA